ACAACTTTTTTTGTGACTTCTGTTCAGCGTACCAGAGACGGCATTGGGACAGCCCAGACCCTTCAGCACTCTGGATTTTATGCCTGTACCATGTGAGAAGGTCCTGTCTGTTGTACAGACAATAAGGAGCTCCAAATGTAAGGAAATTTTTGATATTTCTGCCAGTTTCGTTAAAGATACTATTAGTTCTACCGTTCTTCCTTTAACTTATATATAAACTGTTGTATTCTTGATGGTATTTATCCTAAGATTTTAAAAACTGCTAGAGTTCTTATCCATAAGAAAGGAAACCACAATGTTCCTGAAAATTTCAGGCCCATATCTATTTTACCTGTTTTCTCCAAAGTACTTGAAGGAATTATTAAATAAAAACTCTCTTATTATCTAGAATCGAATAACCTGATGGCATATGCCCAGTTTGGTTTCAGGTGGGGCCGTGGAACAATAGATGCAGCATGTAGGCCTACTCTCTGACTAAGCCTAATCTTTGAGCCGTTTGAAAGTGGCGGTTTTGCTGGGGCCACCCTGTGTAACCTCAGCAAAGACTTTTGGCACTATAAACCATGAAATGTTATTAAACAAGTTAAATTTCTATGGTTTGAATGATAAAAGCCTTGATTTGCTGAGGTCCTATCTGGCCGAGCGCGGGCAGCTGGTGTCGCTAAGTGGTAAAACCTAAATGTATCAGAAACCTAAGCCATGGCGTTCCGCAGGGCTCTGTACTTGGACCCCTGCTCTTCAATATAATGGTTAATGACCTTCCCATATGTACCTTGGTAATGGTGTTGTTTGCTATGCAGACGACACTAAAATTGTGGTAGCTAGAAATAGCGCTGTTGGGTTGGATTTGGCTTTATAAATCAATCTTTAAATGTTGCATCTACCTGGTTCCGAGCAAACTATTTCTTTTTAAATCAAGAAAAACCCAATCTATTGTTTTCAGTCTCCGAAATATTGAGCATGAGGTAACAAGAGTAAAGCTTCTAGGCATTTACCTAGACTGTAAGCTGGATTGGAACAGCCATATTGATTATGTTTGTGGCCGACTGGCAAGGGTTGTGCACTTGCTTCGTAAGTTAAGGTACTGTACCAAAAGAGTGGTTACGGACTGCGTATGTGGCCTTTTTCCAAAGCATCATCACTTACGGACTGAGACTTTGGGGTGCCGCTCCTGGAGTCGAGGAGAGTCCTACTTCTCCATTAAAAGGCTATAAGAATAGTAGCAGGGGCCAAGCACCTGGATCACTGCTGTGAGCCTATCTTTAAGGCTGAATCCCTCATGATTCGACAGTTTATAATCTGCTTATCTCCCAGACCCTGATCAAAACTAAGGAGGAGTTGGGTGCTCTTGAGCTCAGCAGCGACATCCACTCGTAGAATACTAGAAGTAAACAGGATGTAAATGTATCCTTTGTTAGGCTTAAGAAATTACAAAGTAACGATGACATTGTAAGCCTTAAACAATGCGTTATCTTGTACAAACCGGAACCTTCCAAGTAAAAATTTCAAAAGGGGCGTGGAATGTCTTCTCCTGGCCAACCCACTGTATAGTATTGATGAATTATTCTATAAATTAAAAAACGAATATGTAAGTACTTTTTTTGACTGATGGTTTGCCAAATGTGTGCTGTATTGTTTTCTTTTTCATTCTTTGCATGGTGAGTTACAGGTCACATTATGTATGTATTTCCTTTTTATTATATGATGTTGAAGGAATTGTTCCTTTTTATTCTAATGTATATTGCATAATGTACTAGAATTTGACGTTTTCCAAAGACTTGTGTATTGTAAGTTCTATAGGAAATAAATTGATTTTATGTCTTATGTCGTGTCTTTGTCTTATGTCCCGTTCCGATGCTCAAATACCAATCACGGGCGCCTTTAACTACAGGTCGCGGCCTGGTAGAATTGGCAACGTCGCAAGTGGTGTTGTCTAGCACCAGACGTCCCATAAGATAACATGGCAGACAGGTGATACCAGCTCATTATTTTGCGTGTTATTCATTTAAATTAAAATGTATGAACATAAATGTATTGAAACGTTAAACAAAACATATAGAATTGAAAAAAAAAACAATATTTAGATAGAAAATCAATTTTTGTACTTTTAAAGTGGAATCAATATTGTCATAGTCCAGTAACCAAGCTTTCGTAAAATACAAAAATACCATTAGCTGCTGCCAAACTAAACAGCTGTTTCAACACCACTTGCCAACGTTGCCAGTTCGAAAGCCGCGGCCGGAGTTAAAGGCGGCCGTGTACCAATTATCTGTCTGCTGTCCCGGGCGCGGTGGTGGGGGGTCTGGGTCCTCTAAGAACAAGAACGGTCTCGTACTCGTATGCAAAACAAACAAGCAAAAAAAATAGAGGCACGTTTTCCTCTATAATCAGAGAGTAGTACGCCTTGGAGTTGGAGTAGTGACTCCAGTATAATCTATATAGGCTATATCTCAATTGGGACAACACTGTGATGATATGGCGAAGGTTTAAGAGTTAAGCCTGGTTTACACGGGTCGAGTATGTCAGACGAGTTATTCGGCCCAGTTACTAGGCCCAGTTGTTGATTTGTCCAACTCGCCCGGTACTTGACTAGACTGTCTACACGCATTCCTATTTCGAACAGCGACAGTGTAGGCATAGAGAAGTAATTTTTATAATTTCTCTGTGTTCTGTGGTGTAGGGTATTATTCCGTATACCATAGCTTTCGTGTTAAATGTTGTTTGAGTTTAAAATGGGACTTCAAGAGTTTAATGCTGAATTTATAAATTGATTAAATCACTGAATTAGATTATTAGAATTAAAACTGAATCATCCATTTAATTCAGGGGTTGCTTAAAAGTTGTTTGCAAATACGATAGACCAAAGTGGAAGGTGATATACTAAAAGAATAAGATTTGTTACTAATTACTATACCGGTACTGCATTTCTTTAAAATAAAATATATAGGCAACCAAAAGTTGCCTCCAAATAAAAAAATGTGAAAACACCGTTTTCAATGTATTTCTGATAGAAAATATTTTTAGGGAGTGAGCTATCTAACAACCCATTGATTAATAAAATCGTTCCAGTAGAACTGTAGATCTTAAGTTGTAAAACAATTTTGAAAACTGAATTTTATAATAGTGAGTAGATTTACGAACAGCAAGACAATGCAACACAGGGCCAACTGTTCAACTGAACCATTTAGTATTGAGGGTGATTAGGCATACACTACTAAATACTGAACTAACCCCAAAAACACTGATCGTTGTGATCGACTCATTCAAGAGAGATTCGAGAGATTTATTATACTACTAGCTGTACCCACGGGCTTTGCCCCGTTTAACTTCATATGTGAGCTCGTTCGCATGGCTCAATCACGTCCTGGTTGAAGTTCGTTCGCTACGCTCACTCACCTTTAGGTTGGAGCTCGTTCCCTGCGCTCACACGTCCTGGTTGAAGTTCGTTCGCTACGCTCACTCACCTTTACGGTTGGAGCTCGTTCGCTGCGCTCACTTGCCTTCAGGTTAGCTCGTTCGCTACGCTAACTCGCCTCCGAGTTGAAGTTTGTTCGCTACGCTCACTCACCTTTTGGTTGAAAATTAGCTGTTGTCATAAATTAAAAAAAATAATAGTGCTGCACTCTGTTGGTAATCCTTGTAACTTTAATGCTATTGAACATCACAGAACAGAACCAACTTGTTTAATTGAAACAGCTGGTATGATTCATTAATTCCATTTAAATATGAGTACTCATTAGGTTAACATGGGAAACTCCAGAGCCACTGGGGCGGAGCCCGAGAGTCCGATCAGAATAAAAACCACTTAGTTTTCCTATTTAATGCCTAAAGAATCAGTGTACCAAATTTCAGCCTCCTAGGTAAGTGGGAAGTGGGAGAATTAGTGATGAGTGAGTGAGTGAGTGAGTGAGTCAGTCAGTGAGGGCTTTGCCTTTTATATATATAGATTAAGTAAATAAATACATAGGTAACGTCAACATTGTCAGCGACCACAAAATAAAAAAAAATATTTTTATTCTGTGGTCGCTGGACTCACTTGAGAGCAGTAAACAGATGTTTTGCGGGCAAATCGTGGTGGTGGGGGTAGCTACTGGGCCGAGCTCGGTTTTCAACTAAATCACTCGACTCGCTCTCAACTGACCTCTTTTTATCAACTCGCCCGTTGCTCGACCGGTGGGGCACACGGGAGGGACTAAGGCTAACATATCTTGTAGTGTCAGCGTTTGCCGCTAGAACCGCTAAGTTGATTTTTATTTACTTTTAGTTATAAAATTAACTTTTTGATTATAAAATATTGTTTTAAAATTATAAATAAATTTTTAATTTTTAAAATAAAACTGTCATAACATAACCTAACCAACCAGACTTGCTGATAATATAAAAACTGTATAAGATAAAAATCTAATTAATGATTACTTCTAATTTTTAATTAATTATAAAATTAATTTTAAAATTTAGTATTATAAAATTTAACTGTCATAACCTAACCTAACCAACCAAACTTGCTGATATGAAAAATTTGTTGACAAAAAGTTAGAGTTGCCAGCGGGATCCGATCTCGGGACCTCCTGAACATCAATCCGAATCGCTACCAACTATGCCACGAACGCCGCTGAAATCACATCGTTTCGTTACGGTAATCGTGTTGCCTCAAGAGAAGACATAGCCACTAGAGATATGACGTCACTACACCTTTAGCCTTAGTCCCTTCCGTGTGCCCATTCCGTTGCTCGACTCCCCTGCATGTCTACACCAAGCGAGCTAAAGAGCGAGTGGCAACTCGCACACTGACTCGCCCACCGTACTCGACCCGTGTAAACCAGGCTTTAGTTTAGACTCCAGTGAAGTTGAGAGAGTGGAAGAGAATAAAGTAAATTGATCCAGTCATCCATCCCAGGAGTCCCAGTCCCAGTCCAGTACTCACTAGATCAGTTTCACCACCGTTATATAGTCAATGGTTTCACCGACTTTCACATTTCACTTTCACCGTTTCACCCCCATTCCCATTCCATTTTCCATTGGTTTCGTTTCTGGTTTGGTTTCGTTTCACCTTTGTCCGTTGTTGTTTCTCACAAATGAATTTGATTTGGAATTTGTTTTTTGTTTATTGTTTTGTTTTGATTTTTACTATACAGTAACAAACAACAGGTTACAAACTGAAACAAAACAAGCTGTAGGCCTATTAGGCTTACCTTTTGATATTGACTTCTCAGTGCTACGCTACGTCTTATGTTGATTACAAGCCTTAAACAGGTAAATTATCACAAAGCCCTCTTCCCACCCATTACAGTAACTTTACTATAACTTATGCCTAACACGTAACGATCTTAATAATGATAGGCGTAGTACCTACCGGTAGGCCTACAAAAATCGGTAAGTTAAGTCTTCCCTAGTTTACGTCTACATTTACGGAAAGTAATTCAAAGAAACGTCTCATAACATTTAAATTAACCCTTTTGCCGCCAGCATTTTTTTCATTCTTATAGCCTAACTTAATCGAGAATCGCCAAGGATTATACTGTATACTTGGTATAAATGGCTGCACTTTACTTTAGGTCCTACACTCATTAGAATAAAATATCGAACATTCGATTGTATCATTCGATAAGTTATATCGTTTGATTAGTTAGGTTACCTTACCTAACTAACAAAACGATATATCGAATGAAACGATCGATTAATCGATATATCGATCGATATTTTAACTCAAATGAACGTAGGACCTAAAGTAAAGTGCAGCCCTTAAAATGGCTAGGTTAAAACCATTTTTTTGTGAATATTAAGTTATTTTGATAAAACTTTCTAGAATGGTTGGGTAGCCTAGACAGTTTCTTAAATGGGCTACGCTAATATTGATTGAAACAATTGACTCGAATAGAAAACCTTTAGGCCCTATGCGATTTTTCACTATCAGCAAGTTTGGTTGGTTAGGTTAGGTTGATAGTTCAATTGTATACCTAATTGATTATTAATCAATATTTTCTATTTGATAGTTTCAATCAATAGGGTATTAGCGTAGCCCAGTTAAGAAACTGTACCCGAACTGTTAAGTTAACTTACAAAATTGCCTTTCTTAACTTAAAAATATAAGATTAGCCTAAGTTATTCAGTGTGTCAGATTCCGTGTAATAAGCTAAATATATAGGTAAATGCGACTTACAGTCTTTGCAATCCTGTTAATTGAGCACTATGCCTATGGCCGTTTCGGAGATAACTCCATCATCGGGTGCGTAGTCACCATAAACTTACACTAAACTGAACTATTCACATAGGCTATTTAGGCAACATTTTTTAAACGGCCGTAGTATTCAATTAACAGGATTGCAAAAACTGTTTTTAGCCTTTCTATATTAAAAATAAATAGGCTAAGTTACCGGTTAGAAAGGTTTGAATGGATTTTTTAACGTTACCAAATGTAAGGGAAAAAAATAGCAAAAAACCCAAAAATAACAAAAATAACAACAAATAACAAAAATAATAAAATAAATAATATAGGCTAATAACAAAAATAACAAAAAATTTATTATCAAATTTTGTATACCTATTTTGTTGTATTCTACCATCTATGTTTTGTCTTTGTAAATTGGTTGCTGCCGTTGGAAATAAATAACTTAAATAAATAAAACTTAACTTAACTTAACTTTGAGGACAACCAAGATAAAACTACCTAACTTATAAAATATTTGATAAATATTTGTGTTATTTTTGATTAGGTCGACTAACTTAAAAGTTATAGGCCTACACATTATTTTGTTAGCATAGCAAGCATGCAAAATTTGAAAATCCTACCTTAAAAAATAAGCTTCTTTCATGGTAGCCTCTCACATGATCTCTCCGTCCGTAGTCCTTTGCCTTAAGGAATTGGACAGGTCAGGGTTTTAATCACAAAGAATAACCAAATTTAACTTAATACTAGTTTATTTGTCACAATTAAGGTAACTGTCTAGCCTGTGTCATGAAAACTTAACTCCACTAGATATTTTTCAATTCTAATTTGAATTTTGTTAAAATCTGAATTTCAAGTAATTTTTTCGTTAGGGCCTGGTACAGTTTCATTCCCATGTAATCTGCCAAAGGTATGGACATTAAAAAATTATCTATAAATGGGCCATGAGAATTTATGAAATGTGATCACTCAACCCACTAATTAATTGCACTCTGTCAAGTAATGAAATAATGTGTCTTTACTCACTGTCGACTTATTTCGACCAAGTTTAGTTATATTTACTAACTGAAAACACATTAAAACAACTAATAAGTCTTGAGAAGTTATCTTAAAACACGGATGTTGATTGTTGACAAACAACAGACGACGTCACCTAGGAAAATCTCGTCCACCACTAGAAAAAAACACAAAGGCAGTCAAAGCTCTTGCTACATTAAGCCCAGACAATGCTGATTCGATTGGTGTGTCATTTGTGGCTTTTGGACGTAGAGGTGGCCAGTAAACAAATATTTAAGCTTAGCAGACGTCCGATATATCAGACCGCACGGCGATTTTCGCAATAGCGCCGTGGTCCGATATATCTGACCGCGGCGGCCAAAGGATTAAAACATATATTTATGCTTATACTTGGACAATCAAAATCGATCACCACTTACCATCTTTATATTTACCGTCTTGTGAGTAACAGTATAAGCGTAAATATATGTTTTAAAAGTTATAAGACGTTTCTTTTATTTACTTTCCATAAATTACAATGCTCATCAAGAAGTTATTTAGTCTTCATTTACTAGGCCCCTATACAATAACTACTCAGCTGATTATAAAATGAAACTGTTCTAAACTAAAACTAACCATATCCAAACTACTGTATGTAAGTAACGTAGGACGCAAACTGAAGTGCAGCCAGGCATATTTAGAAAGCCTATTATTATTAATTAGCGATGTGACGAGTTGAGTTTACTGATGACTCGAGTCAAACTCAATTCACAACTATGTCAACTCGAGTCAGACTCAATTGGTATAACTTAGTAAAACTACTATGGCCTTCATCCGTCAAGTTTGGTTTGCCTCAAAACGCAGACAATAGGGTTATAGTTTGGCGAGTCAGCTCAACTCGCAATCAGCCAATAGTGTTTAAGTTTTTTGAGTCTGACTCGTTACGTTTCGAGTTTTTGTAGCTTCGGCAATCTCCGTGCAAGTTTGTACCAACTTAAGTTATTAATGAGATGACTCAAGTTCCACTTGACTCGAGTCAACTCGACTCACCAAACTCAACTCGTCACATCTAGCATTACAACATCATGTATTTATTAGGTTCAAGCATATTCTTAACAACGTTTTTTTCTCAACTCGTGTGCATCGCAGCGAAAATCTTCGCATACTCTTAGAAAGATATTTTCCTGTAAGTCAGATGTGCTGAATCCCTTTATAATTTAAAATAAAATAGGGTAAAAAATTAGCATAAAAAATTGTGAATTTTAGAGAATTCCCATGTAAGGAATAAGCTATTACCACAGGTCTTATGGTAAGACCTAGACCCGGCACTGATTTACTTATGATTTTGAGGTCCCCAGAGGCCAAAAACACCATCCGTTCAAATTCATATCTATATATATGGGCCTATAGGCCTATAAGTAAATTAAATGTTTAGTAGGTAGGCCTATCCTTTAAATTATTAACTTTTTAAGTAACTAACACGAGCTGTTGGCCCGTCCTACGTACGGGAATTGAGTAGTCAATTAAAACGGAATAGTTCAGAACATCTAGTTTACACGCACAGTGACAAATTCTGGCAGTTTTAATGGGGCCCAACTGCCCCCTTGGTCTATATTAAATTCTTTTTGTCTATGGTATTACTGTATTCTGTTTTGTTTATTTCAGCTTAACTTAAATCAATTATTTTATTAATATTTATTAAATCAAACGGAGTGCCCGTGGGTAACAGCTAGTTAAGTCTAAAGTTTAAAGAGCTTAATATAAAAAAATCCTTTTTTATAGGTATTACCCATACTAATTTGGGGGCCCGCTAGACCCGCGCGCGTGCCCCACCGTAAATAAACAAGCTGGCACGCCTAAGGGTTAAGGTTAAGTGCAGTGTAGAAAAAATGTAAAAGGAAGAAACATATTATCTTGTTGTTAAACACGAGAGAGGTCTTACATGTGCACTACGTGTTTCAAATAGTTTTTTTTTTATTTATAAGCTATTTAAAATGAAAATCAAATCACCCATCTTTATTTAAACTGAACATGCATACATGAATAGAGGCACTTAAAAAAAAAACACACAAACAAGTACTTTAAGTTTCTTATTATATCTACTACAATGGATAAATCTGTGCAGTACAATCCTATTTAGTAACTTTTAATTGTTTTTTAAAATATGAACTACTAGCAGAGCACCCGTCCTTCGTACGGGGTTGGCATATATAAGTATAAAATGCTTATTGCAGTTATATTCAAGCTTTGCGTTTGCAATGGGGAGAGGACACAGTTTGATCAAATTTGGTTCATAGATTTACGGTTTGATATAGTATAACACATCTACCATTGCCATAATGTTCTACCACTGCACCTAAACAATAGAAAAAAAAATTATCAAAAATTTGCACAATATCATAAATTATACATTAAATTAAAAACTCAAACCTAACTGTAAACAATCTTACTTTGACAGTTCTCATTGTGTATCACAGCTTTTTGTTCCTGCTTAGTTCAAATTAGCTGTTGTCATATATGCAAAAACAAAATAATAATAGTGCTGCACCCTGTTGGGAAACCTTATAACTTTTTAGTGCTATTGCATATTATAGAACCAACTTGTAAAGTTGAAACAGCTGACTAAATTCTTTAATTCCCTTTAAATACTCATAAGATTAACACGGGGAACTACATAGCCACTGGGGCGGAGCCCAAAAGGATTTTTGAGATTAAAATATGCCTTAATGTTAATTGGGAATGTGAGCTATCATCATGCCAAATTTCAGCCCAATCCGTCCAGTAGTTTATGCGTGATTGAGCAACACACAGACAAACTCACAAACTTTCAGATTTATAATATTAGTAAGATAGTTTTTTTTATTTTTTTACTCTTTTGCTTGATTACATGACGAGATTGCTAAAACTATAAGACAAGTTTATTAATTTCCCTCCCCATTTCTACTAGTTTTTCTCCTTTATCATTGAACATTATTTTTGTAGTAAAAATTATTTGATGGATCGATAGAGCTATAAAAGAAATGTCGTTTAAGTAGTTCAATAATAGGTTCAGTTGTCGAGTATTGCCACTAAACAACATAGTGGTGTTGTCAACATAACAATTGTTAAGGGCGATCCTGTACCTGTATTTATTAGATTCGGAGAAAATTAAATTGTTTTCAATGTGATTTAGATAAATATCAGAAAGTATACCAGATAACAGAGAGCCCATAGCGAGACCATCGGGTTGGGAGTAAAAATTGCCATTGAAAGTAAAATAGTTTTGTTTTAACAACAGTTGGGTAATTGGCGGTAACCAATTGGCGGCCGAGTTACTCCATACACATGACAACAAATTGTATTTGAAACTGCTTTTTTATATGCGGAAGATCATCTTATTAGTTAAAATATTTTTGGTTTAAGTTTGCGGTGTGAAGCAAAAATAATATAAAAAAATCCTCGCTTAGCAACTTTTTTAAGTCAAGGTGAAATGGCTTTTAAAGATTATCAGTTTTTTTTTTTTTTTTTATTCGACTTACAATTTAAATATGATTATATTTATATGGTCAGATTCTGGATTTAATGCAGATTCTGAATATAGGCTATACTATAATTGCCTTCAACCTATTGTATAGACAGCCAGGAGCGTATTAAACAACTGCGTGCATGGCTTGAGGAATTGCCTTATCAGCATTGGGTCCATCATGGTGGTGGGGAAAGGTTGCCGAAACTGCACACTTTTTATCCCACATCTCCTATTTACCGGGTGTTCCAGTTGTATGAGTTATTTCGATGTTTATCAGTTAATGAAGTAAAATTTCACCAATTAATTACAAAATGAACATAGTATTTAGGTCTAAAAATGGTTACTTATAGCACTTATAATGACCATGGTAATCTGCCATAACTACGGCAATACCATGATATATGCTTTCTTTTTACTATTCAATAAAATTAAAAGATAACAAAGAAACTGCTCCTAAAGAATAGACAATTCTCCCACAGGCTCTTAGCAGTTATTAAACATTTCCCAGTTCCATACAAATTGAATATAATTATGTTAGGTGCCTACGCCTTACCGACATTTTCCTTGTCCTTATTTAAACGAAAAATCCTCTTAACACTAAAATAACAGGGTGTATACCAACCGGGAGAACCGGGGAAAACCTTGAATTTGAATTGACCTGGAAAAAACCGGGGAAAAGCCGGGATTCTTGACCAAATCTGAGATTTTTACCTTAGCCCCGGTAGAAGATTGCAGTCATAAAACTCGTCTTGCCACAATTGCTGACGACGTCAATGTCCGCGGGAGACGACGATGACGTTTCCGTGACCGTAGGATGCGACGATGACATCTACATGGCCGTGGAAAATGTTTATGATTTTGTCGCGATTGCGGACAACAACGATGACGTTTCCGTGACCGCGGGAGACGACGATGTCATCTACACGGCCGTGGGAAATGTTCATGATTTTGTCGCGATTGCGGACGACAACGATGACGTTTCCGTGACCGCGGGAGACGACGATGACGTTTTCACGGCCGCGGGAAATTTTCAACTATGATTTTGCCGAGATCGCGGACGACGACGAATATATTTCCGTGACCGTGGGAGACGACGAAGATGTTTACACGGCCACGGGAAATATTCAGTTATGATTTTTCCGTGATCGCAGACGACGAAGATGACGTTTCCGTGACCGCGGGAGACGACGATGATGTTTACACGGCCGCGGGATTTCAATCGTGCTTTTGGCGAGATCGTGGACGACGACGACAATGTCATTTTCGTGACCGCGGGAGATGACGATGAAGTTTCCGTGACCGCGGCAAACGACGATGATGTTTACACGGCCGCGGGAAATATTCATAATTTTGCCGCGATCGTGGACGAAGACGATAACGTTCCCGTGACCGTGGTAGCCATTATGATGTCTACCCGGCCGAGGAAGAATTTCGTGATTTGGTCGCGATCGCGGACGACGATGATGACGTTTCCGTGACCGCGGGAGATGACGATAATGTATACTTACCACGGGAGATGTCCACGATTTTTCTATTATAACACAAGAATGTGATGACGTTTACGTCACTGTGGGATGCGACTACATGGCCGCAAGAAATATATAGGATTTTGCTGCTGTCGAGAGAGACGATGTTTCTGAGGGCTTTTTAATAATGAAGATAATACATATTATTACCATAATAAGGTTTATTATTTTTTCAACACTAGCTCACTGAACTTTGAAACAACTTTGATGTATATTCTTAAGCTTCTTATAAGCTGCAAGTCTTAAATTGGATATCGATTAAGTGGAACTAAACATATACTCGGATTGGAAATCAATATAATGTTCACGTGGGAAACATTCACGCTGGAACCTGGAAAAACTAAAAAAAAGAACAGGGAAAATCCTGGAATTTCACTTTAAATAGTAGTATACACCCTGAATAATAAAGTTCTAAATGAAAAAAATATATACATATATAAAATACACAGAATTACTAGTTTTTCTTTAAGGGACTGGGGACCGAGCTTCGCTTGAGGAAAATCGTTAGTATCCTCTAAGAGTATTCTTTTGTCAATGCAATTTATCCAAATATACTTTGTAGTCTTTTTAATTGCTGTACAATAGTAATATCATAGTTGATTTTGATTTGTAAGCAACATTTATGACAGCAAACCTGCAGACTAAGCAAATTTCCATCTACCTGGCTGGAATTCCACTAAATTATTCCCTTAAAATTGTCAGATTTATTTCATATTTAAATATCATTATTAATTTCAATGAGTATATAGGTTTGCTGCTACAGGGTTTTCAGGGTGAAACATTTGAAGAACCCATTTTTACCCTTTAAATCCCCCCATAAACCCCGGTTCCCATAGCCTGGTTTTGGAACTCGTTTGAAAAATTTAGGTTTACAGGTTTACACCAAATTTGATCGAAATCTAATCATTTTTGCTCGAGTTATCATGCCAACAAACACATATATGGTTTTATACATATATGAATTTGAACGGATGGTGTTTTTGGCCTCTGGGGACCTAAAAACGACCTCTTACCACGAGACCTACAGTAATAGCTTATTCCCTATATGGCCTATATGGGAAATTTGCTTACAGGATAGCTTTTAATTTATAACTAATACCTAAAAGAAGTTGAAGTAAATTCTAACAGGCAAATTTTTTACCTTGTGTTCAAACACATATTTTATTTACAACCGGTACCGTCGCTATGTCTGGCCCACCTCGTTTACTCCATACATCTTGCGCTTTACCGACTTTTTCCTTGTTGTCGTAATTCACTTACAGTTCTCAGTTTAGTTGGTTGGCTGTACACCCTGGATAGTTGAGTTCGTGGCTCAGTCGATAGCGTCACCGACTTCAGGCCCAAGGCAGCAATGTCGTGGGTTCGGATCCTGGTCACTGCCGCAAAACATTTTATCAGTAGACTTCACCTTCGTACTGAGTAATGGCTCTCCCTTTGCTTTACTGGATCAGTTCTACCCACCATAGACTAAGAAAATAAAAGTCTTTTATTTATTTAACTTTTATTTCCATAGTCTCTGGTTCCAAGCACGGGAAAATCTTGTATAGTCTAATGGTGGGATATGAGGCAAAATGCAAGGTTAAATAAGGACGCAAACCTCTAAAAAAATGTTCAAGAACATATAGTTTTTCTAGTATTAGCACAGCAAAATTTCTTGCAAAACACGTTTTGGACAGTGTTCAGATTTGAGGTGTTTGTATTAATTGACAGGATTTTATTTTAAATATTGACCATGACAGCAAACCCCTGATTTTGGATAATATGATATTGACCTTGTACAAATTATTAGAATATTGTGAATTGATTGTTAAAAACCAGTATTAACTGATTAATACATTTTTATACAATGTACATAAAAATGAATGAAGATATTTTAATTTAATTGAATATAATAAGGTATGATCATTTTCGGAAGTAAAGACAAATGAGTTCCTACATATGAAAAGAGAATCTAATTTAAACACAAAAAACTAAATGAGATAACCCTGGTGTATTAGGCTTCTTTAAAGAATCACTCTAAACATTATGTTTTCCCTACACTAATTAAATTTAGCATTTTCTTTTGTTTAAGTAGAATTTAAATTACATTGAACATTTTTGTTGTAGGTTGAGAGAGTAAAGGGAATAAAACAAGAGATTAAACAATTTTAAGAATTTATATAATACAATAGAAGAATACAAGAAAAAAGAAAAAAGACTGGCCTAACATACATAGCAAGATTTAATTACGAGAACATTTAATCTTGAATGAGAAAGCAAGCATATCATGTATCTGCTATACATTTTAGAAGTCCTACAACACAAGATTACGATTTAAAATATATACAAACCCCTCTGACTATTGACTTTCCCGATTAGTAGTTTTATGTGATGAGTTTCACAGAGATAAAAAGTGCAAGACATGATCTGCTAACTCACAAAACAAACTTTCCTCTCAAGTGTCCAATATGTGAGCAAAACTGTTCAACCTTATTCACAATGAAGGTTCATATGTTACATCACACTGGAGAGCGTCCCTTTAAATGTTTGACATGTGAGAAAACCTTTTTCCAACTTAATCATGTAAAGAGTCATTTGTTGGTACACCATGGGAAGTGTCCTTATAAGTGTACTGCATGTGGGAAATCCTTTATATCCAAAAGCCATATGACGAGGCATTCATTGGTTCATACAGGTGAGAGACCTTATAAGTGCTCTACATGTGGGAAATCCTTTATATCCAAAAGCCACTTGAAGACACATATTGCAATGGTTCATACAGATGAGAGACCTTATAAGTGCACTTTATGTGGAAAATCCTTTGCATTTAAAAGCCAACTAAAGAGACATATTGCAATGGTTCATTTAGGAGAGAGGCCTTATGAGTGCATTACATGTGGAAAATCTTTTGCATTTAAAAGCTGTATGAATACACATATTGCAATGGTGCATACAAGAGAGAGGCCTTATAAGTGCACATCGTGTGAAAAATCATTTACAATCAAAAGTGATCTGAAAAGACATTTATTGGTTCATACAGGTGAGAGGCCTTACATTTGCCCTACATGTGGAAAATCCTTTACAACCAAAGGTGTATTGAAGACACATTCATTGGTTCATACAAGAGAGATACCTTACGAGTGCACTATATGTGGAAAATTCATTGCATCAAAAGGCTATATGAAAATACATACATTAATGCATAAAGGAGAGAGGCCCTATAAGTGCACTACATGTAAAAAATCCTTCACAACCAAAAGTGATATGAAAAGACATTCACTAGTTCATATGGGGGAGAGACCTTACAAGTGCTCTATGTGTGGAAAATCCTTTGCAACCAATAGTGATATGAACAGACATTCATTGGTTCATACAGGAGAGAGACCTTACAAGTGCTCTATATGCGGAAAACTATTTGCGACTAACGCCGTTATGAAGACACATACTAGACAGGTTCATACAGGAGAGAGACCTTATAAGTGCACTTCATGTGGAAAATCCTTTACAACCAAAGGTGGATTGAAGAGACATTCATGGGTTCATACGGAAGAGAGACCTTACAAGTGCCCTTCATGTGAAAAATCATTTGTAACCAAATATGAAATGAAGCGACATTCATTGGTTCATACAGGAGAGACCTTACAAGTGTACATGTAGGCCTAGAAGATTCTTTGCATAAAAAAATGATGACAAATACATTGGTTCATACAGGAGAGAGACCAATAAGTGAACTCCATGTTGAAAATAATTTGCATCTAACTTTGTTATGAAGAGACATCTGTTTATACAGGAGAGAGACCTTATAAGTGCTCTACATGAGGAAATTCCTTCAGAACTATAGGTGAATTGAAGAGACATTCAATCATAGGGAAGAGAGACCTTACAAGTGCACTATTTGTGGAAAACTCTTTGTGTCTAACAACTTTACGGTGTACGTCCAGAGTGCACGCCAATTCAGATTCAGAATCTGATTCGGATTTTCGGTGCTTGGTTAATCTGAGTCAGATATTTTGTTGGTGGCCACATTGGAAGCAGGAAATATGCCGCAGGTACTGACTCTGTAAGTAAAGAAACAAGTTAGTCGCTCTTATGGAATTGTTGGATGAGGAATTAACGTGTAAAATTATAGTGTCTGAAACTGTTGTGAAGTTACAGCAGGTGAAAATGGTGTTCATCATATTATATATCTTTTCCTATAGCTAGAAATTATATAGCTTCTTTCTATATTACGTTGTGTGGAGCCCGAAACCACCAAACTTATTAAAATTGGACGTCACATTGTAAGAAACTGGTGTAATCTTCATAAACAAAAAAATCCTGAAGACCGTTTAGTGGTAACCCTTAAAGTAAGAATGAAAAAAAATTATTTTGCCATAAAAACATAATTTATTGAACTAAATTGTATGCGTACAAGCGAAATCGGAAATCGGAATGTGAATCTGGCACCAGAATGAAGAATTCATTCCTGCCTGCACACGGGCTCGGAAACCGGCAGCCACTACTGCCACTTCCATTTGAATGCAAGTGCCATTCCTGCCACCGAAAATCTGAATCTGAATCAGGGTGTACTCTGGATGTACCGTTATGAAGACGCATACTAGACAGGTTCATACAGGAAATATACCTAAGTGCTATTTATGTGGAAAATCCTTCACAACCAAAGGTGAGTCACAGTAACTCAAAGTAACCAAAGAGGTTTGCCATAATGCTTTAGTTTTTTGGAAGCTTTACGTGTGCTCTTTGCTTGCTTTGGGGGTTCTCTCTAAAGTTACTTGAAATTTAAGGATTTTAAAAGTTGCCCTATAGATATCCTTGAATTTCACAGAAAATAAAGTGATTCTTAAAGTAATGTTAAAAGGAGTATTCAATGAAATTTTCAAGTGACTGAAAGGAATATCAAGAAGACAAGGACATCACCTAAAGGATTTTGTTTTTAAGAAATGGAAAAATGACTTTGTTAAGTTAAAATGGCAAAAGATAAGCTGTGTTTTGATGTGCTATTTATATGTATAGGGTAAATAGTATTTAATTTGTACTATTTATAAATATGGGCGCTTTCATTGCGTCACACTGTACTTATGGTGGAAATAATGCATAATAAAATATACTGGTCATAGACAGTTAGTATATTTAATTGTTAAAAGTAGTTTCTTACAGATGCTTTAGGCTCCTGGTTTAACATTATTCAGAACTTTCTTTTTAAGTTTAAGGATTTTATCAAGGTTTGGTGCACTCGTGCCCCCATAGATATCTAGATGACAGTTGAGTGTATTTGAGCAAAATAAATACATTTTCGTGTTTCTAGATTAAACAAAAATTACATTCTTTTTAAGACGAGTAATCCCAAAGAATTTGTTTTCGCTAAATGTAGAACATGTAAATTCCAATTCAAATGATTAGATCCACTAACATAAACATAAAAATATTGTGAATTTTATTGTCTCTTGACTTGGATCGATATGAACATTTCCAGATTGTCTTTATGTTGCACTGTTTTATTTACAAGAACATTTTATTTTTCCCTTCATGATTTAAAAATAAACTGTTTTTAGAGGAATAAGATTGAAAAAATTTGAAGAATTCATTACACACTATTTCAAAAATTTCAAGATCATTATAAGATGTAGATGATGTTAAAAAATTTGAATCGTCAGCATACAGAACTAACCTGCTATTGATACCATTAAAACTTTTTAATATAGAGGGCATTCCTTGTACATAAAACAAGAATAACAAAGGTCAAAGAATAGAACCTTGTGGAACTCCATGTTTGATGTTTATTACTTTTTAGTTATGTTTTAAGATTTTACCATTTGTTTCATACACAATCTCAACATACTGTATTCTATTAGAGAGATATGATTCAAACCAATGTATATAACGTTCTGTTATACCCAGATATTGCAATTAACTTAAAAGTATTTTGTGTGAGATACTTTCAAAAGCTTTTGTAAGGTCCATAAAAACACTAACTACTTTGTTTCCTTTATCAACTGCATCAATTATAGTGCCTGTGTCTGTAAAATCCATTAAAGTAATAGTTATAGACTTGTCTTTTCCAAACCCAAGTTACTCATTATCAAAGAAATCATTAGCTCATCACATCACACATTATTCGTTCTTAGACCTGATTTATAAATAATATGAACATATTTGATAGTGATCAACATAGAGCACACGTTTTTCTGAATACACAAGAATTTAAAAACTCATGTTTTGAAGGACAGTATGAGTCAGGTATAACAATTTTTCATCATTAACATTAGATCAATAAGAAAAAATGGGATCAGTTTTTGATTTATTTTTATAAAGGTTTTGCATTTGTGGACATAATTATATTTACTGAAGTTAATGTAAAAGAAACTCTCTGACATTCTGAAATTTTTAATATTAAGGGATATAGCATAGCCTAGTGCTTAATTTAAGACAAATAAAAAAAAGGTGGAGGTAGGCCTATTGTAATTTTTATTAATGAAAACATTTTAGTACATGGGTTAGATGTAAACAGTAGTCTAGTAGTTTTGAAAGTAAAGTAATTAATGTCACAAAAATATTTATTTTATAAATATTGTAGCCACATAAGTTGTTGCATTGTTATTCTTCTTCTTGATTTTTGCACAGATCGCTTACGCAAATCCGCAACAATCCATCAAATAATCCGTCTAATTAATTTTAACAAGCCTCCTCCCTCTTTGATACCAAAGATGACATTTTACTCACTCAACACAGTAATTTCCAACACCTCCAAACTGAAGTAGCCGCTACAACTCGCCATGTGTGACCGGAAGTTTTTTCAAGCCTGCGAGTACGAGTGGCGAATAATTATAGCGGCGAGTAAACTCGCCATGTGTGACAGGGCCTTTTAAACAAATTTTCAAAAAGAGTTTGAAAATTTCTAGTTCCAACTTTTTTAATAGATTGCCAACTGAAAAAGAAAATATAACTAGTTTTAGAGTCTTGAAGTCTAGGCTTAAGCATTGTTATCTCAATGAATCCATTTAAATATTGTTTATTAAATTACTTACATATAATATTATTGTTTAAGTAAAAATCATTTAATGCATGTTATTTACTTTAATATTGTCATCTCAAGGAATCCATAGAAACTCGTTAAATTGTTGTTATTATAATTTATTTAATTATTTACGTATTGTTGTATTGTTATATCATTTTATCCATTTCAAATCTGATTGAATATTGTTGCCAAAATTACTCATTATATTATTGTTAAAGTTGAGAAGTATTTAATGCATGCTATTTTTTGTTAAATATTTATTTATTTAATATATTTGTTTCAAGTTCTTGTTAAAGTAAATTAATGTTAGTCTTCTATAAAAAGGTAGAGTATAAGTGGAAACAACAATGATAGCAGATCTTGACAAGAGACAAGGAAAACCAAAGTGTTGTATGGATAAGGACTGACCAAGGGACAAAGTAGATTGTTATCAAGAACATGTTTTTCTCTATGAGCTGCAGATAAGCAAAATTGTCCTGGCTTTTGAAACAAGTTGTTTATAAAATTCTGTAAGATTTTGTAATTTTTCAAATAAATAAAAAAAGTTATTTACCAAGTGATCAACACAGTTGTACATTACTCTTTCATATATTTTAGATATATAAGTCAACAAGGACACAGGTCGATAATTACCTTAGTCTTTCCCCTTGTAAAGTCTGGTTGCCTCTTTTCCTTCCTACAGGTTAAAGACCTACGAAAAAATTTAACCAAACTAAAGAATAACTTCAAGGGGGGATTTAGCATAAAGGTAGAGTATTCACTAGATGGAGGACCTCTGGGCCTGTAGAATAAGTGAACACCAGTGCCAGTATGATATCATGATTTAATAAATCTAACGAAAAGTGCAAACCATTGATAAGTACATAAAATAAAGAGAATTGTTACACAGTGATATAATAATTGAGAAATAGTAAACTGGCAAATAAAACAGAAATAATATCATTGAATACCTACACCCTATATTTTGTTTTATTAATCAAATCTGATTCTCATACAACAGATTTTTAATTTGTTACCTGTGTTAGACTATTATGGCCTATCAATCCATAAGGTCTTTAACTGTTAAATCAAAAGAACTCTCTCCTGCTAGGTCTTGTGTGCAACTCATGAAAAGTTCACCTGTCTGTGGCAGAGTTTGTGGGAAATGTCTACCTAAGTTGGACTACCACTACTTGCATGGAAAGTGACAACCTTGAAAGTTCTGCTTAACTAAGGGACAGCTGTGTTGCATGACTCCCATGCAAAAGAGATAACAAGTTATAAGATTTACCAACAGGGTGCAGCACTATATTTTTTGCATTTATGAAAACAACCAATCTTAAATGTGAAAGTTTGTTTGTTTGTGTGTTTGAAGTTCAATTACGCATAAACCACTGGACGGATTGGGCTGAAATTTGGCATGATGATAGCTTACACATTCCCGGTTAACATATAGGCATATTCTTATCTCAAAATTCCTTTCGGGCTCCGCCCCAGTGGCTCTGTAATTCCCCATGTTAACCTTATGAGTATTCATATTTAAAGGGAATGAAAGAATTTAGTCAGCTGTTTCAACTAGAAAAAGTTGATTCTATGATATAAAAAAACATTAAAAAGTTATAAGATTTACCAACAGGGTGCAGCACTATATTTTTTAGCATTTACAAAAACAGCAAATTTGAACTAAGCAGCAATAAAAAACTGTGATTCGCAATGAGAACTGTCAAAATAGGATTGTTTACAGTTATGTTTATGTTTTTCATTTCATGAATAATTTGTGATATTTTACGAATTGTTGATAATTTATTTTTCTCTATTGTTTAGGTGAAGTGGTAGAACATTATGGCTATGGTAGATGTGTAATACTATAGAATACTGTAAATTTAAAAAGCAAATTTTATCAAACTGATTTTGCATAGCCTATAACGCTTGGTCCCTGTTATTCTTGTGAATTTTTACCAAATTTATTTTCATATTAACTTAAGTTATTTACATAGTTCAATTTACTCACTAAGATTACACCCTTTTTAGCATCAAGCTAAATTCCATTCTACCTCCATTTCAGGGTATGAGTTTATTAAAAAAATTTAAATTAATAATAAATTAAGTTTGCCTCATAAAGAAGGATTTTCATGCATTCATCTATCTATCTATCTATATATTAATAGGCAAGCATGTTTCTTTAAAACCTTTTTTCTCAGCTCGTGTGAATCGTAGGGAAAATCTACGCATACCGTTGGAAAGCTATTTTCCTGTAGGTGTGCAGAATCCCTTTATAAATTTAAATAGGCTCAAAGATAAGCACAAAAAATGAGTTTAAAAATTTGAAAAAATTAACATGGATCTTATGCGTTGCTATGCTGGTTACGAAATAACAACGAAATATAAACAGAAAATCAAAACAAATGGAGGAAACTCCAATCACATGTTTTATTTACAGTGTGGGGTGAAAATAGATAAGTGAGTACATTACATATTTTTGGTCGAGTTTCAATACGCAAGCAGGATTTTTGTGACAATTACTCCTCCGAAACTACTGAACCGATTGTCATGTTTTTGGTGTCATTGGAAAGAGCGTAGCGTGAAGTTGTGCAGGAAACTTTCTTTTTAGGGAAATAATGAGAGAGTGAGGCCCTGGAGCCCTTTAAAGTTTCGTATTTCTCCGTAAGATTAACATTGGAAACAAAAATTGTTATGAAACTCCAGCTGTTGTCAGAAATCAAAAGTGAGAAGAAGAGCATAGGTTAATCCTAAACCGTCAATAAGTTTGCTAATATAGTATTATAACAGTTTGCTACAAATATTTACTTAGCAATTGCTCGAATTCGAGCAACAGGGACACTAGTACTTATTTAATACGCAAGCAGGATTTTTGTGACAATTACTCCTCCGAAACTACTGAACCGATTGACATGTTTTTGGTGTCGTTGGAAAGAGCTTAACGTGAAGTTGTGCAGGAAACTTTCTTTTTAGGTAAATAATTAGAGAGTGAGGCCCTGGGGCCCTTTAAAGTTTCGTATTTCTCCATAAGATTAACATGGGAAACAAACATTGTTTTGAAACTCCAGCTGTTGTCAGAAATTACACCTCACTTAATAATTGGTCTCCATGGAAGCATGAGAAAATTCACAATGTTTACATTTGCTTTGACATTTAAATGTAAACAACCAGGAACCAGAACTGTCAAATGCCTATTTCAGACAGCTGATCCAAAAAAATAAAACAACTATATGTGGTAGGTTTATTTAATCTTAAACTCAATGATGGATTATCTATATAAATAAAATTAGAGTTTTGTCTGTACATTGCTTAGAATAATGAACTTTTTGGTTATTTTTACATTTCATAGGTCAGAGAAACCGAATCAAACCTTATCTCAATTTCTGTCTGTCTGTCTGTCTGTCTGTCTGTCTGTCTATCTGTCATTCTCTTGGTAACGCTAAAATACGCACTTTATTACAACTACTCCTCAATAACTATAGCACTGTCCCGCCTGAAACTTATTTTCCAAATACTATACATATATGAGATGGTTTTAGACGTATTTCATCGAATATGAGACAGTTAGATATTTAACAGTAAACCCTTGAAAATCAAGTTTTTGTCGATTTTTGACGTGGAATTTCTGGAAGCCCATGTTAACCTTATGAGAAATGAAATTATTGAATCTTAACAGCTGTTTCAATTAAACAAGTTGGTTCTGTTCTGTGATGTTCAATAGCATTAAAGTTACAAGGATTACCAACAGGGTGCAGCACTAGCACTATTATTTCTTTTACATTTATGACAACAGCTAATTTGCAACCTGGAGGCGAGTGAGCGTAGCGAACGAGCTAACCTGAAGGCAAGTGAGCGTAGCGAACGAGCTAACCTGAAGGAAAGTGAGCGCAGCGAACGAGCTCCAACATACAGGTGAGTGAGCGTAGCGAACGAACTTCAACCAGGACGTGATTGAGCCATGCAAACGAGATCAGATAGTAAAAATAAAAGTAAGCCTACCGTTATAGGATCGACCGGCAGACACAGAGGTAATTTAACCTTTTATTGATTGTCATACCGATCCGGAACAACAAAAAACAACATAAAATGAAGCTATGTATAATAGTTTGGCCAGCATATCTTAAAATATGCAAACCAACTGCTGTTCTTTATATAAGAAGGTTTCAACTGAATATTATAAGATCCCCGTGCGTAGAACGGGTACACAGCTAGTTTATTATAAATCTATTTCAATGATTATGAAACAGATTTTTCCCATTGCGAAGAAAAATTAAAAGTGAGGAGAACATATGTTAATTGTAAACAGCCAATGTGTAAATTATCTATGTTGTATTAAAAATGTGTATAGTTTTGTATGCTGGTTTGTATTTAATGATATAAGTTATTAATTATAGAATTTTTATTTTAAGGATTTGGCATATGAGTAAACCTGTGATAAATAACACCATTTCAGAGTTCTGCCAGTTTTTGCCTAACTCTGTCCTGTAAAGTTTAAAGTAGCCTACCCTTATTGTCTACAAATTGGCTAAATGTTTTAGGTATGGTATTTTATAATAGCTGACAGCCTTTTTAAGTTGACTTAAATTGTTAAGCTTACCTTTTCCCATCCATGGGCAGTTTGATTGTTATAAATTAACCCTTTAAACTGGAATAGGAATGTTATGTAAATTGTTAGTATTTCCATTAGTTAATAATCTTTTAGTTGACTTTTTTTAAATCATCGGAAATTATGAGTGTTATTAGTTTTTAAAGTTATTTGTTTATAAAACACTCCAGTACTTCTTTGCAATTGCTCGATTTCGAGCAACATGTACACTAGTTAATTAAAATGTGCAAGGAATGGAACTGGAAAGCACGGATGCTATGAAATCGCGACGTCGAGCCTACGTCACGGAGCGTCCCGTGAGCCTTGCGGGAACTCAACACGAAGAAACCCAGTCAGTCTCCACTCTCCAGTCCAGATCAGCATTTACCAACATTAAAACCAACATTGGACAATGGACATCAACCAACGCAACAACACAACACGATTCACGAATCAGTTCAGTTGTCAGGTTGTCACTATTGTCAGTTAATTAATCTGTCTAGTGTCTATGGTATTAGTTAGTTTCCAAAACAATTGTTTTGTTTATACCAAATATACACAGGAACTGGATCAACTAAACAAGCTGAAGCTGAAGCTGCATTAGCTTACCTAATTGATAGCCTAGGACTTCTCAGTGCTACGTTTTATGTTGATTACAAGCCTTAAACAGGTAAATTAATGTAACATCCTCTTCCCATCCGTTAGTGTTAGGAAGCCTACTAATATAGGCCTAACACGTTAAGATCTTAATAATAATAGGCCTACTTTACTTCACAGAGGATGCGTCCGGTAACCGGACGTGGATTAGGCGTCCGGCAGTTACTGTCATAACCTAACCTAACCAACCAAACTTGCTGATAATAAAAAAATCGATTGAAGGTTAAATTCTGTTCATAAAATAAAATTTTAAATGCTAAAATAAAAAAAAAAATGTACAGTTAAGAAGAAATGCTATTCAAAGCAAAATCTTTGACTAAGTTAAATG